ACTATGCCGCAGTGGTGACATCTATAGTCAAACCGGTTACGTCTCGTTCCCGCGCTATTCCCGTTCGAATTAACATTCCGTTTATTGTTCGCGTTTCGATTTCCGGTTGAGTTCGCGTTCCGATTTCCGGTTGAGTTTGCGTTCCGATTTCCATGGCGCTTATTCGTCGTAGCTGAGAACACGGTAGACGAGCTTCCACTTACTAAATCTGTGCTGCCACCTCGCTTCGCTTCTTCATCCAATAACCTTGTTTTGACGAAGCTAAGAGTTAATTGTCCACTTGACATTGTTTCGAGGGCTGTTACGACCATATCATACTCTTCGGGCATCGTTAACAATAGATGGCATACGATATCAATTTCTTCTATCTTAGCACCGGTCGATTTCAACTCCCGAACGAGCTTGTCGAACTTCAAAAAATGAGATGCCATGGATTCCGTTGACGCGTACCGCATGGTCAAGAGTATTTTTCTAAGACGAAGTTGGCTCGAGACGCCTGTACGCTCGAAATTATCCGAAAGAGCCTTCCACATATCATACGCTGTATCTTTCTCCTTCACGTACTCGAGATGACTATCTGAGATACGTTGAGTAATAAGCGACTTACATTTTTTGTCATTTCTTTTCAAGATAGGAGTTTGAGCGGCTGCGGTTGCCGCCGGTAGCCTTGCTATTAATGTATTAAGCTCTTCACCGATTAGATCAAAGAGATCATGTTCCTCAAGTAGAATCTGCATACAAAACTTCCAGTTACTGTAGTTGCTTCCATCAAAGAGCGGCACTTTGTACTTTTCATCGTCCGCCATTTTTGTCGCACTTTCGCACACGCGTTGTTTCTCAAAACTTTTCCGACTCGTGACTTACGAAGTTCACTCCGCGACTAAATTCCTTCTTCACACGCGCAACCCTGGGCCCATAACCTGATGATGTTAGAGTAGCGAGGATAAGCGGTGGACGAAATAAGTATTACCACAGATTCATTGAGCTGCAACTTTTAATATCCAGTAACTGTTCGAGTAGAGTCATGAAGTAAGAAAGTATAAAAGAAACGAAACTAGAATTTAGAACGTAGATTACATAGTGTAGAGAGAGATTATACATTGCTCAATCTAACAACTGGCAATAACGAAAGAAATATTACTGAGATAGTCAAAATTATTAACTGATTCTTTCTATAAAATATCACTGATTTACAGCGCTGTACTTATAATTACTGTAATCAGTGGTTATTTACTGTTTTTCAGTGATAATACACTGATTCACTTTTAGAGAGTGCTTTATTCGACAACATTATTAAATATATTATTATGCTAAGAGAAAGACGTCAAAATGCGGTACATATCATGATGTCAGGAATCTGTGACATTAGATCGTCACTTTTACGTCATAAAAACGTCAATTCGTGACGTCAAGAATAATCAGTGAATGACCAATTTGAAACATCAAAATGACGTGTGCTTGCTACCTGGGTGATTGCAATTGCAATAAATTAATCGATACATAGATAGCAATTATTTGGATAAGTATTACATTCGATATGCATGGTCGATTCAAATAATTGACATCTGTAGGTACTTTCCGATTCACACATGATGCGCATAAAGTGACAGAAAATGTATAATAATATGCGTGACAGGAACTATACATTTTCTGTCACTTGCGCATCATGCATGAATCGGAAAGTATACTATGTACCGATCAATTCATTCCAATTACAGTCGTTAATTTCTCGCATGATAAAAAAATTATACATCTCTTATCGTCACGAGAACACAGCGCCTCTTTCGTCAAACGTGCGAACCGTACAAGAAAAATATGTAAAAAATGTAGTATAACTAGCCACGACCACGACGATGACGTTTCTTAATTAAAAAGTTTCACATTGAAACTTTGCATCGTTATATTTCTGCTTATAGAGCACATAGAGCAAAAATAAAGACACTTTCCTTATATAAATCGAACCCAAGCAATTGATTAAATGTAATAAGAATTTGATCGATTCAGCGGTTATTGAGAACCGATAATATGCATTACTCGTAACTTAGCCATTCGCGTAAAGATACACGGTGTGTCTTGCGCCTGAGTGATGATGATTCGACTTCAAGACACTACCGTGTCTCTTGATATATTCAATATATATATATATATGCAAATTAGATATTTTTTTTTAAATTTATAAAACACTCCCTGGAGACATTGGAGATTTAGAAACAAGATTGCGATATGCCATAAAATCTATCGAAGAAGACGTAATAGAGAATATCCAAGAAAATTTATTGAAACACATGAGAGCTTGCGTTAGGATGGATGGAGGCCATTTCGAACCTACTATGATTTCTAAATTAATCCGCCCTTTTTAGGACGATCAGAAGCAATCCGCACTTTTCAGAACGACCAATATTTTTGAACATTTGAAACATTTTCTTCCATTTTTAAAACCATAAGAAAAAAACAAGAGATATTGAAACGCTAGAATTTAATGATATTTTTTCATATTATTTTCATATTATTATTGATTATCGATTTTCCATCAGATAATAGTTTAATAAATATTTAATAATAAGTAAATATATTTAATATTAATAATAATATTTAATAATAGTAAATAAATATTTAATATTAATAATAATATTTAATAATAATAAATCCAAAAAAAACCTTACAAAGGTAAAAAAAATACGCCAAGTACATAAAAAATATTCCACCTTGTATGCAACAAAATGTTTAATAAAAATATACCCTTATAATAAATAATTTATAAAAATTTTCCCTCAAAAAATATATATAATAATTTTCCTAAAAAAAATCAAAACTGAATATGAAATCAATGATTAATTAGCAAAGTACATTGAAGCAATTGATAGGAATTTGTAATTTGAAATATTTGTCACAAATTCAATCTTGCATTTATATATTAGATTCTCGACAAAATAAAAATGATTTTCAAAATAAGTTCCAAGTAAATTTGGAACTAAAAAAATTAAGACCAAAACAACTTACAAAAACTTGGCGTGCTCGAGTCGTATTATAATTCACATATTTCTATAATTGAAATTAATTACAGGTATATAATTCGCAAACTTTGTAAAATTATATGTATTATAATGTTTTTAATTACTAGAAATGTTAATTAATAGGTAAACTTTAATATAATAGATCTCGGTTTCGAAAAGATGTTTAAAAATGTGACGATGTCTTCAACCTGTTTTCAACCAAGTGATTATTAAATCATGAAAAAATTAATTAACAATGTACAAAAATATATGTATGTATATGTATATGTATATGAGTAGTTCAGATATCATTATATGGTGATAACTATTTATATAATTTAAGTCACTTTACAATAATTACTTTTTAAAGCACTTGACAAGAAGTATTATTTAAATTTCATTATTACGATATCTATTATATACAGGATAAAGTTATCATCGTGAGAAGTAAATCGAGAATAAAGAAAAAAATTAAATATACTATTGATCGTAACGCACTCACCGAAACTATATTTGCCTTCGACTGAGAAAAGGAATCCTTATACTGGTGTAATAATTGGGTGGAATTACAAATGTAAAGCTGCGTTTGTACAAAAAAAATTAAAATCTGTAACATCTCAGCGAATGCTGTGAAACTCGGCACATGTGCTTCTGCAAATGTTATACTTACGAATCAGGCAATTCCAGATTTATCTATCAACCGCACTATATAATTCTTGCGCAAAATAATATAATATGTTATGCACCACAAGGTATGTGTAAGATATTAGTAGCATTCTCTCTTATAAGTTATATATATTTATATATATAGTTATATATATATATATATATATATATATATATATATTTTTTTTTTATATGATTTTTCATCTCTTTATACATGCGCATAAATATGTAAAATATATCCTTTTTTTATTTTAGATACTGTATCAAGTTGTCCACCAAAATGGATAAATAATGTAAAGATAGGACGATACTTTCCTCATTTCGAAGGCACTCATTACGTACCAACTGAAAACTTGTCAAAAAATTATCCAACTAATATTGCTATTATCCACTAAGTTCTTTCTGATCTGTAGTGTGTACAATAAAATTTAGAATTTATAATATACATATTTTAAAATCATACATAAATAATTTTTTAACTTTTTTTCTATGAGGATATTGTGATATTGTACATATTGTAGATATTATAAGACTAAAAATGCAATGTTAATATTGTATTAACAAAATGAAATATATTAGAATATAGAAGAGTATATGTAGAATTCTTTTTTTATATATGTGCCAATTTTTGTGAATACAGCTTAATCTTAACTGGTTAAACTTTTTTATTGATAAATTAACTTGAATTTCCACAACAGTACTCACAACAGCGATTTTCAATTTTGATTCGATAATTTAGCGCTCGTCATGTAAAATGTATTACACAATTTTATAATTGAAGATAATTAAAAATTGACAAATAAGGCTCTGTTAGCCAATAAGGCGCGGAATCTGGTGAGCGGTGCTCCTATTTAATTTAATATATAGTATTCTTTAAAATATTAATTTAAAATATTTGTGATTTTCGTGCAATAATTATTACCATCTTTATTTTTACTTAAAATTTATAACTTGTGGATTTATGATTATTAGAATACTGTAGTATGAAAATTAGAATTATTAGAATTATTGGGAAAATGTTCTGGCCAGATCATTGCGAGATACTGTATCGTTGCATCGATTATGAAAATGGTTTATATAATCTCATATGTTATTTAATAATTTTATAATGCATAATATCATACATATCTACAAAACATTGTCAGTATTTGATGATCTTTCGAAATGATAGACCGTAATTGTGTATAAATATTATATAATATATTATTAGCTTTATTAAATATAGTTAGTGGAGATAGAGCAATAGTTCATTTTTACAACTGCATACTTGTGTAATCATCAATATAATTTGAATATACAGTAAGTCATTAAATATAAAGATAAAATATATGTATATACTTATCAATTGCGACACGCTAGATCTCTATGCATGAAACGCAACTCTTCCAAGTAGCAACAACCTCGCGCAACATCTTCGCACATTGCGAGCAAATCCTGTAAACGCAGAGCATGCGAATCTGACGCTTTCAAATTTCGACAATCTCTCAAATATTTTAACAGATCACCAGTTTCCATCAATTCCAACACTAGTAACGGAGAATCCTCTTCTATACAAACGGCCAACAATCTTAATATATGTTCATGTCGAAAATGATTCATAAGCTCGGCTTCCTTTAACAATTTCTTTTTCTCATGGGAAGAAGCATTTTTCCGAAGCGTTTTTATTGCAACGGATATCTCTGTATCCGATCCTTCTAAGTTCTTCACCTTTCCTTGAAACACCTGCGAAATATTTCACACAAATTTACATACGTACTTTATTAGAAAATGTATAGTGTAAATTCAGTAAATTAAGTAATATTATATTTTACTTTATATTGAATAATTCAACGAAAAATATATAATAAAGTGCATGTTTGTTGTTTCATCTATATTTTATATTACTTATAATCTATTGTAAAAATTTATGTAATATTAATTATGTAATATATATCTGTATTAGAAAATACATATCTGTTTTGTTGATCCAGAAATTAATTTGAAACATTGCTTGAAAAAATTAATTCTTACCATTCCGAATGCGCCGCTACCAATAAGTTTTGTAAATGTAATTTGTTTACATGCGATTTTAGTTGTCGCACATTCATCCGGATTATAATGTAACAAAGGACTGTAAATCATATCGAATTTAGTATTTTGGCAGGATTCTTTATATAGAATCTCCATTTCTGTATCGATCATTGTTGAAGACAGAAATTGTTCATTATTATCTCTGTGTTGACGACACACTGTTATAAAATTTCAACTTAATTACGTAATAATATGTATTATAAAATTTTTCGTTTTTTAGTAAATTTATTCGTTTACTTTTATATAAGTAAATTACTATTTTTAGTAAATTTTTAGATATTATATCAGATATATAATCAACATTATGTATAATCAACAATTCAAGTTGATACCAACATCAAATATACAATACTTACAACAATAAAAGTAGTAGAGGAGGATTATAGTAATTATAACGATAAAACCTAACATCAATATTAAGTAATATTTTTTCGCTATTATTCCAGGAGTGTCCGAAATATCTGTAATAAGCAAAAATATAATTTTAATATCTTCCTATGTGTATATTTTTACAAATTTATTTCTACTTGTAACTTTATTACTAAAACTTAATTGCTTTAAATTTTAGGCCTATTCATATCTAAAAATATTAGTATATAATATTATAATCTATCTATGCAGCACAGAATGTTACAATTACTTTGCAACAATATTGCAATATTACAAATTGCAATGCAAAATTACGCAACATTGTAGAAATATAAATTAACAAAGTATGAAATAGATATTAGCAATATAATATTTATATTTTGAAAACATTAGAAAACTATAATACTCTTTAATTTATCTATAAAAATAATGTAATAATATATTTTTGTATATTTATATATATTTATATATATTTATATATATTTATTTATATATTTTGTATATTTATATATATTTATATATATGCGATGAATTTTACTTTTTTGCAGAAGTCAAACGAATTAATGACACAGAAATAATGTCAGTCTAGTAAATATAATTCTAAACTAAAGTTAAGCATTGATATTTTTTAGTAAAATATAGATAACATTTTATATCAATGTTACAATATATTTTATGATATATTTTCATTTTATGTACGAATACGATATTAGTATTCAAAGATATACATATCATTAACTTAATTTAATATTATAACTTATTTTAGTTATAACATAACATATCTTTTTTCTTATATTAAGAATAGATACTATTATATCTATTATTATATTTTTCTATGCTTTTTCATGTATTTTCATATGCAAATATATATAATTATAACGAATTTTTAAAATCTTAAAATAAAAATATAATTAGTAATGCTTAATTAATTTTATCTAATATTTATGTTAACAAAGTACCCATTAAGAGTATATGAAACATTTAAAATAAAAAAAAGTGATTCATAAGTAAGAGTTTAAAATAACTTTTGTATAAAAATGTAATATTTTATGTTATATAATTATGTTTAAATGTAATTTTGCAATGTATTATCTTAGATATTGCAAACTTCTATTTATATCAAGGTTTTTAATTTAATTATATGTTTCGAAGATATCTATCCATCAAAAACAAAATATTTTATACGTAATATTATTAAATGGTTGCAATAACATTGCATTCTTTCCAATATATTACACTGTAATAATGCTAAAATATTTCATTCCAAAATCATCTTAACTTTATCACAATTTTATAACAATGACTCATTGTCAGCAGAGTTTCACAATAAATTTGTAATATTGCAATGTTTCAATTAAATTATACTTTAATATATTTGCAACCTTATTGTGCTGTATGGTTATCTTCGTTTGCTTACCAAGCGTTGAAAAAATAAATCTTTTATCAGCCGGCCATGTAAAATTTTCCTTATATTCAAGATATCTTAATATCAAGCGAAACATGTATAAAGTTCTCGCTTGTAAATTTCCGATATGGTATATTGCTTCATTGTTATAATTCATTTTAATATAATTTGTTGTTTGCCACTCGTCTGTTGCAACATCTTTGTACTCTAGTGTAGAAAAGACCGTCAGATTGATGTTTGAGATCCATGAAATGTCCCTGCTATTTATATCGACCTCGCTTAAAGAAATATTGTTTGGTTCTGAGTATATGTGAACGATCTCGCTTAATCTCTCGTTGTAGAAATCGCTGAAATTAAATGGATACACACGCATGTATATCAAATAATCTTGTACTGGTAGCGACAAGTTAATTTTTGTGAAAAATCTGCCGTCTGCCACACGTTTCGGCACATTGATAATTTGTTTGCTCTTTTGTTGCGTGCCATTCACTGATGTAACTGTCTTCCAATGCACTTCGTAAGGCCACGCAGTTCACTTTCTTGGGTGGCATCCAATAAACTACTGCCATAGTAGGCGTTAAAGCTAAAGCACTTATTTGTTTTGTAATTTTCAATTTTAATTATAATTTCTTTTAACATCAGTAACGATTACTAACGTCTTTGTTTTTTCTTAATGTTATATACAATTTTTCTTGCCGATAATTGTTTTTCTTATTTGATTGGTTCTTAAAATAAGCCTGTGTTTATATTATTTTTAAAGTACTTATGTTTTCTGGTGCATTAAGTTTGCCCGAATTAGTTCTTATTGGTATCACATTCGAATCCAATAGATTTATTGATAATTGATCAAAGTAAAAATTGCTTAAAGTAAATTTCAACTTGTACTCTGTAAATGGTGTTAAGTTCTGAATCTCGTAATATCGCTCGAACGTCTGCACATTGAATTTCTCAGACTTGTTGAGATTGTTGTCTAAACAGCTTACGGAGATAGTATATATAGTAATTGGTAAATTATATTTTTTGCATCCACTATTTACAACCGGCTCCGGAAGATTTATAATGATGCTGTTTTTCGTTGCGGTCACATTCTCAAAATTATAAACTTTTTCATCAGGTGTGAGACATCTCATTAGAGGATATGGTTGTAAAGATTTATCAGAAACATAAATTTTCTCAATATATTCACTGAAGTCTATTCGTATCTTTAGAAAACATGAATTGTATGAATTTGAGACGCTCTTGGGACATGTTGCAAATTTCTTTTCAAAAACGTATACCATAGGTTGATTCAAAATATTAAATGTTCCAAAGTAAATATTTGTTTTGTCAATCGTTATAGAGCTTAAGGGTGTGTGATATGCGTTTGAATTGTATAAAATTGTTTTGGGCATAGAAACGTTAATGTCTGTCACAAATATATATATCTTCACATAACCAGTAAATTAACGGCTCCTCATTATTCGTGTTATCAATTGCATAACTATAAGAAAGATTAGAAGAACTTAAGCAAAAGGATGAATTTATCTGAACAATTTGCTCACTTTTTCCATCGAGATAATATTTCATCATATTATATTCATTTATTCTATTGTATGACATGCGATATAAAATTCTAAAAAATATATAATTATTTTACATTATAAAACGTTATTTTAACAAAAATAGAAAATTATATGTAATGAAAATTCAAAATTTTTATAATTATATAATAACTTGTTATTTTTTTTTTCACTTATGATCTTAATTATAAAACAACGTAAAATTATAGAAAAATTAGAACTTTGCATATAAATCTTTAATGGAAAATTATTTTTTCAGGTGAACGGTAGTAAACGTACCCCATAAACGGTGATACACTTAAATAGTAATGAGAATTTGGTATTTTGTAAATTTCATCAAATTTAATTATGCCATTTTCCCACATTGTTATGTCGAACTTTAAAATATAATAGTAAAAGCTCAAATATAGATTTCTTGCTACCCAGTCGATGCAGAGATCATTTATATGAAAAGTCAATGTAGCTATTTTCGTGATATTATTTTCATTAATCTTCAATGTCATTAGATCATTTTCGTTAGTCCAATAAATTCTATTGTCTTGTATACAATAAGCGACATATACTACTAATCTGCAAAAAGAAGTTAACTATAATTTTGTAGTAAAAAATTATAGTTGAGATTTCTAATTTTATAATTATTACTATAATGTTGATAATAATAAACTTACATAATAATAATAACTTTAATTTTATAGTTAGTGCAAAAAATAATTTATGATAATTATAACTATTTTTTTATCAGTATACATACTTTCTACCAGTAAACGACACGAAATTAGTAATGTTTAAATCCACGTCCCATATTAGGAGACTTCAATACGTTTTGAGTAATAATATAGGTACTGGATTTTCATAAGTAGTCGACACATTGATTAAATCCGTGTAAGGACCAGCAACAATTTTAGTATGCGCACGTACTCGAAAATAATATGTCGCGTTAAATGTCAGATTGTGAACCGTGTGCTCCAATTCTGTAGTTGTGATATTTTTATCCTCGCAGATTTGAATCTCTTTTAAATTCTCGATGAAAAAACACAATTTTTTATGTTCAATGTTATGTTTATATTATGCTTTTCTATTTCTTTTTTGGATGGAATAGAATTTATATATTTCTCATTAATAAAAGATATTTTTAAATTTAATTTCCACTCTCCCTTGAATTTAAATTATATTTACACTTTTTCGTCATAGTTTTTTATTAAGGTTTTATGCATTTCTTTGTAACTTACTGATTGTTTCTGGGATGATAGAAATATTTGCGAGTGTAACTTCATCGTCTTCTCGCTTATTTCTCACAGTACTATCAGAATGATTCCCGTCAGATTTGAAATTTAGTATATAATGATCACTTTTCTCGGACATTGAAATATCCTTCACAAAATATAACATATGAAAAGAATTAATTAAATATCGCTGAAGCGATTGTTTCTGGTGCTTTTAATGATAAATTATATGAATTATAAAATTAAATAAAAAATTGTTATACGTTTTTCGTTACCTTTCCTTTTTTTAAGACATCTTGTATATCAAACATAACTCATATCAAGAGAAAATAAAAAATATCAAAAAGAAAATCAATCAATAACTTAACAAAAGTCAATGAGGATTTATAACAGCTTTTGGCAAGTAGTACAAGCGAAAGTGTGAAGCTTCTTGCAATTATTAAACGAATTTTGTCTAACGATTTGATTTTTTCTCATGATATGTTAGTTAACTCTTCTCCACTTTTATCGTAACTTAAATTTCTTTTCAAAAATTTGCCGATATTATTAAAGTTTTATTAATGTTTATACTGCAAGAATAAAAAGGTTAAAAAAATTGTTTTTTACAATTATTAATCATATAGATCATATTAATCATAGAGAGAGAGAGAGAGAGAGAGAATTGTGTAAATTCTTTTATTTATAACCTTGTCAAGTTTTTTCTCGAATGTCATTATATTTTTAAACACAAACAAATAAATAATGCTAACTTTCTAAATTAATTTCTTAAAATAAAATCTACATTAGTATAAATCTTACTATAATATATCAATAAATATTATAAATATCATAAATATCAAGAAAGATAAAGAAATTTTAGAAATTGAATAAAAATAACATAAAAATTTATTGAAGTATCATCGTATGTATATATTAATGTAGCAGATAGTAGACAGATAACTACAATAATTTTAAAAATTGTTATTTTTAAAAATAATAATTGTATACACACACACACACACACACACACACAGAGAGAGAGAGAGAGAGAGAGAGAGAGAGAGAGAATAATACAGTCAAATTTTAAAATACTGTTTTCATTAAATGTAATATAACTATATAACATTTATAAACAAAATTTCAAAACTTTATCCATCTTCTTTTTACAACAACGTACATACTTTTTTTTTATATTGAATTGTTTTATTTTATCTTATCTTATTATATAGAATATATAATTTACTATCATTTATTTTTAGTTACACTACTAACTGCAATAACATTCAATTGTTTCTTAATCAAGCGAAAAATATCTCTTACCTGTATGATTAAATACGGACATATGGCAACACTTTCTTTTTGGAGGCTGTTTGAGGTGTTGTAATCTCTCGGCATAAACGTGATAGTTGCCTTTGTCAGTATAAAACTTTTCAATAATACACATATAATTGTTCCAAACATAATTTGCATCGTTCGTAAAATGTTTCCCACAAATCGGTTTCCATTCAATCTTCAATTACTTGTTTTTTTCACTCTACTAATTCTGATGTGTTGATAGAATTGATATTAATTCACATATATACATATATTTTCGATAAAATCCTTAAAACTCAGTTTTAACGAATCGCAAGTTATTATCTTCTAACGTTATGTTTTTAGATTTCTTTTTATGTTCAGGATCACAATATATATCTTAAGATTAAATTAGAGAATTCCTAGTAAGTAAATAATTTCTATTTCTTTTTTTAGGAGAACAAATGACAATGCAAAATGGTATACATTCATTGGACTCTATCGCGAATACAGTAATATAATTATTATCAGCGTTCCTTTTTCATTAATATTATAATTTATAATAGAAAAGCAATCAATAAAAAGATAACCACAATCAAATTACAAACGATTAAAAAAGTTATTAAGAATTATAGATCTTCTAACATTTTCCATAGCCATATTTAAGCACACGCAGCGTATAATCGAATTCACTTCAATATTTTCTATATCTTTTATTAAATATGTGATTATGACAATTCGATCGTACGATTGTGTTACTATGTACAATTATGTTACTACGTATGCTTTTCAAAATCCATTATTGGTAAGTAAAAATCGGTATATAAATCCACTCTTTGTACATAATTTTTTGTGATATTCATATAATGCAGTTTGAATCAAATGATAAGTAACGCAGTAGCATGTTTTGGCTAGCAATCACAGTAGTAACTGATTTCGAATAATCAATCTGATCATATGTTGCCATGATTCAGAGACCTTGATGCCGTTTTCCTCTCTCCAAATACATGCTAGCGGCCGTGCGGCACGAATAGCAGTACAGGTTTATGCCAGTCTAGTGATAGTAGCAAAGAGGGCACCGTCGTGTAGAAAAAGAAAAATATAATAATTTATTATATTATTTTATATACTTTATATATATATATATAAAGTATATATATATATATATATATATAGTTAGTATATATATTGTGACGTGACGCTTTTTGAGCTCCGTCACCATTGCCATGCCGAGGGGGAACAGCGTGCGCGGGGTCGTTCCTCGCGCCTGAGCGGGAACTTAAAATAACTATACTCTGATTGTTTAGACTTATTTTAGCTTTAATGTAAGATCCGCGAATAAAGTGCGGCTGCTGTGCGAGCGTATCTCCTTTGTACATGAAGACACAGCAAGATACCGGAAGGAGAGGGAACCGTATAGGAAGTGTGACGTGACGCTTTTTAAGCTCCGTCACGATTTCCCTTCCGAGGGAAAATAGCGTGCGCGGGGTCGTCTCTCGCGCCTGAGAGGAGACT